GAAGATTTAATAAATTTATTAAATCTTCAGACAGCTGGGTAGCCCATTTAGTTTTGTCAGATTGATTTTGTCAAAAAAGTTTTGCTCTGTCTACTCTACTGTACCCAGCTGTCTGAAGATTTAATAAATAGATAAATAAAACATGAATACAGCTAGCCTAACAAACTACTGCTCTGTTTACTCTAACTCAAACACATTCATACTAGTATACGGTGACTAGCCCCTCATGTCATACCACTTGCTACATAATTTAATCCAACGCCAAAGGGTATCCCACCTGCCATGAAGTTGGCCTTGCGGACCTCGTATCTGGCCATGTCTGCGTCGAAGGGTTCTATGATCTGCAGCATGACGATGGCCATGATGATGCCGTAGATGGCCACAGCCTCGCAGAAGATGATGCTGATCAAGTTCTTGGTCCGGATGCGGGGAGCCTTCACTCCTCCTCCTACAATGCTGCTTCCTGTGGGAAAATGTCAGGGATGTTATCAAAACATGCAACATCCTTCTTACATGAATAAGAATTTAGCATCTCTGATTACCTAAATTAACTTATTGATCAGTTGAACAGATGATGCTTTTGCGGTCGATCATTTTTCAGACCAGATCCACCACTTCTGTGAGGTCATGCAGATTACAGAGTAGAAAGATACACAGACTTTCTGCAACCTATGATCCACTGCTCACGGAGTCACAATTGTGTTATCTGTGTGGCGTCGGTGGATTGCTTATTCCTTAACAAAGACTGGAGTTGTACAGTCGGAAATTTGGGTGAGTCCAATTTTTTTTGTTGGCAATTACAGTTCAATCTTGTTTCATAATGACTTCTACCAACACAGATGAGCTTTCTCAAGATAAAGAAGAAGATATTTGTAATTTCCTGACCAGTGGTGAAGATCCCCCAGGCTGCTCCCACCACAGACAGTGAGATGGTCAGGCCCACGCCCAGGTTTGCCCACATGTAGGGCGACGTCTCTGTCAGGAACCAGCCAAAGTCAAACCTGCAACACACATGCAACAAATATGAATAAAGTAGTATCAAAACTGCAACATACTGTAATTACCTTCGTCAAGAAGGTTATGTTTTCCATAGTGTGCGTGTGTGTGTGTGTGTGTGCGTGTGCGTGTGTGTGTGTGATTTAGCACAATAACTCTAGAAGCTTTATTTTATTTAGATGGATTGGCATGAAACTTCGTAGGTGGGTAGGTCTTGATGAGGCCAGGAAATTATTAGATTTTGGGCCCCTGGTGGCTATCCTAGGTACTGCAGCAGAACTAACGGTTTTGATATCTCATGATCTCGTTGCAGATGCATGGGAAAATATTGTAACTCCGGAGAAAGAGGGAAAGACATAAAGGTTGACTCTGATTCCCGGGATCAAATCCGCACTGCATGGCAAACATCATAACCGCTAGGCCAAAAATTCCAGGGCCCATTTGGTTGGTGACACTTATACCTCGCTGTCTCAATGGGTCCTGGACCTTTTGGCCTAGCGGTTATGACATTCGGTTGTCAGGGGGTGGCAGTGACTCCCTTTACTAATGCGTAGGGATGGATTTCACAATTTTCAGAGTATAATGCACAATAACCAGAGAGCAAAATTTGTCATATCTAAACATTGTCTTGCTAAACATGGTCTCTTGGTGCTGGTTTACATTTTACACTTGATTCAGTTGAAAGTCAATTGTCTATCTAGGTACACAAGTATTTAACTCTTGGTGCCTTAAAATTTCTGAATTACATAAATTATTTTGTACCATGATTGTTCATATGTCAAACTCCAACTCACCTGTACCCTTGCCCTGATAGCGCATAGTACACTCCAACAAGCACCAGAATGAAGAAAACCGTCCCAGTATAACCGCCGTACAGGTATAAACTCATCCTGAACCTTTCTCAACGGACGATCCGACGAAAAAAACACCACGACCTGACCAACGACCAACACCTGAACACTGACCGCTAGTCAGGTGATGATGACAGAAGACTAGAAGGGGGAGGGGAGCGGCAAAGGGCGACTAAAAAAGTCCGCCGTATATTGATTCCAAGATATTATCCCCTCAAAAATGTACACAAGCTATAGAAAGAGAAGTTTAGTCTTGTGGTAGAGTATTTTCCGGTGTAAAGGTTCCAAAGATGTCAGAAAATTCTTGGAAAAACAGCAGAAAACCGAACGTGTGGGCGAGTAGCCTTTGGATGAGAAGGCATCGACACAAGTTCAACTCTTTTCTCCAGATTTTTAAAAAAACCTATCCTGTCCTTCAACTAAATAAATCAATATACGAATCCATTAAAGTCAAATTAGTACAATCATCTAAAGCTAGATTCTATCTGTAAATTTTCCTTTATAGTAAATAAATTAATAAATTGTTTTAACGTTTGGCCACTATCAAAGGAGAAAAGGTCACGAGATTTGTCGAGTACCCCGGATGTATAGAATGTTATAACTTTGCAAATTGCATAGGGGTGTTTTGTTGTACATTTTTCCGCGTCACATTATGTTTAACTATAGTATCTTTTTGTGAATACTAGTACTAATCATTGTAGATTCATAATAAAAATCAATTGATTGAAAGGGCAGGCTTACAATTTTAGAAGTTTAAGTGTATGTTTAAAAAAATGTACTTCCCCATATTAAAGTAAGACAGTCCAAATAGGGTTGTTGGCCTACTTCCTGTTTTAGCTGAGCCAGTGGCGGAACATCGCACTTCTACTATCTCATTTTATCTACAAGGTATGCTACAGTTATAATATGCTAAAGAAGGGATAGAAAAAGCATGGAAGCTTACTTCTATTTGCAGTGTATTCTGCCGTTGTTTTGTTTGGAATGGCAGCAAGATATCAGGTTTCAAAATGCCGGGAGAGAGGGGTGTGGTGGTTTCAAATACTTGGCTGATTGGCTTGGGAAAATATGATTGCATCAACATTATATCTTCTGCTTGAAGAATTTGACGACGGGAGCTGTTAGTTCATATCATAATCCTTAAATATTCTGTGTCACAACAGTTATTCTTCCACTGCTTTCGCCAGGTGCTTTAAGTTAGTTAAAGGCTCCTTGGTTACATGAACACACCTTTTGTTGACTAAGAAAACAATAGAACAGAGACAAGTCAAGGATTTTGTTAAACGAAGAAGGTATTTAGCAACAGAAATACTAGTATCATTTGGCATCATCAAACACATCCAATTTGCAACTTTCAGGGTGGCAAAAGAAAACAGAAATTCTGGATGAGGAAGTCTGATAATATTAACATTGTTGACATTTTATAATACTGACATTTCTTAGAACATTTTATCATCATTTAATCTAAAACAATTCCATGTACAATGTGATGTGCCATTCAAGGCCTTTGGAAGAATACCCAGATTTAGTTTACACCAATCCTATGGTTCTATTTATATAGTATTTGCCACACCCTCTTCTCGCTCTGAATCACAGGTGTCTGACCACAGGTGATACAGGTGTTGGCAACAAACACCTGTATCCTGTCACCATTTTCTATAACATTATATCATATCTTTCTCCTTGTATTGTAATGATGCATTAACAGATTTCCGTTATGTGTAATAATATTACATATAGCTTGGTATGTGTTCAAGTAGATTTGAATTTTATAGTTTAAGAAGTGGAACTACATTTTGTACCACATTGACTATTACATTAGGGTGTGTAGGCTGTTTGGTTGACCTTGGACATGATGATGATGAGTCATTGCCCACAAGTGGTTCTAAAATTTTCCACATCAGGGACTTTATAGAGGAAGAGGTTTAATCTGAATATTGCCTGTAAATAAGTGAAATGACAGATGGGAAACTTGAATGTAGATTGGTGAATTTTATCCTGTATGAATGAATGACTGGTTTATCAAAACAAGTACATTGCAGCCATGGATTGAATTACATACTGTTTACAATAGGGCAAAATAACTATACACATGGTGCCTTTAAAAAACAGAAACATTGTAAAACATCATTAAAATCACCTTTTCATAAATCACATTAACTTAAAGCTGTGCCATGAAACACCAAGACGATACAAATGTATTAATATATATTACTGTTTATATAGTAATATTCTTGTATTTTTCCAGGTTTGACCACAGAGCTTCAGCGATGTCGTACCCTGGTGGATATGGAGGATACCCACCTGTAAGTACTGCATAAACAGTCCTGATGATAATGAATAATTGATATGCATATGAATTCCTATAATTTTGTCACCACACCAATTTACTCCTTCCATCTTGGGTTTTAAAATAGTGTCGTCCAGAAGTGAGCTTCAAAGTAAATTTCTGATTTGAAATGCCAGAGAATAAAGAAATTATATTAATCATACATAAATAATTGGTATGGCGTTAGTGATCATCATCATCTTAGTGATGAATCAGCAATTTGTTCATTTATTTATCTATTTCTTATTATTCCTCATAGACCTGCACTTTCTGATCCATTGTTTAACAACTTTGATATCCTGTTTTATGCTTGCTTATTGTGTCTTGAGCAGCAAAAGTTGCTTTCAATTCAAGACTGCCGAAATGAATTTATTATATCACAGTTGTTTGATTTCTGAAACTTGAGTGCTTGTGTATCTCTGGTGTCTGCATTTTTGTAAACCCCTACGATTGCATTTTCCCCTCTGTAACTTTCTAACAGGCTGGCTATCCCTCTGCTCCTGGTGGCTACCCTCAATCCACAGTAAACAACTTCTTATTTTTTATTTTGCATTTCCCACACAAGTTTCATACATTTGAATGGTTCTCAGATTGTAGCAGGAAAAATTTCCCACACCAGTTTAATACTTAGGCTCTCAGATTAAAGCAGAAAGAATTTGAGCCAACAGAATATATGATAGTCATGGATAATAGAACTAATAGTAATAGTGGTCAGCATCTTTTCATGATTGTCTTTTATGTTTTATAGAATGAAAATCCATACATCACAATTTCATGGGTGGTGCGTTGCATTTAATGGCAAGTCATATATAGATCTATCAATGGTTTTGCTTGATTGCTTTGTCAAGATCAATCCATGATCAAGCATAAAATTCTTTCTAATAAGATCAAAATCTGATAGATTTAGAGATTCTAGAGAACCAACAAATTGAATTGGTGTGGGTTTCATATGTCTCATTACATTGTACTGCTGGCAAAGCATTGTTATAATAATCTTGATATGATCAAATTGCATATGACATGACATAGAACATGGCAGCTATAGTTCAGAAGCTGGCAAAAAATATTATTCAGGTTCGGATGTGGATGCCATGTTCACTGTGATGATACCACTAGGATAACTATTACAGTTACCCAGTAACCCTCAAAGTAAAAACACAAATAATATTTCTATAATTTGTGTGTTGAAAGATTCCAAATGACATCTAATACAAAATTGAATATCTTTTAATGATTCATGGCAGAACATCAGTCGTGACTTGTTGTGATCAGTTTTTAACACCATAATATTTCTGCCCACAGCAAGGATACCCCCCTGCAGCCCCTGGCGGATACCCCCCTGCCAACCCTTACGGAGGCCCCCCTCCCTCCTCTGGCCCCCCTCCCCCTCCAGGACAATCTTTTGCAGGAGGTAAGTCTGGGGGTGATTTCACTTTTTTTTAAAATTCTAATACTACAACAATTTTCACCTCAAAACAAGCCTCATACAAACCACTCATCATCACTGTTTTGGGTTTGGATAAGGGACTGTAAGACCTTAGTGTAATGACAGAATCTGATGTTTGTTTTTTAGACTTGAAAAATTTAAGGTTGTACCCATTTGGGAAGCATTCACAGGTAATCTCCCAGCAGATCATATTGTAGCAAGGCAGTATCCATTGGCCAGAGGAGTGTCCATTTAATAGCCACCGAAGGCTAATGGACACTTCTCTGGCCAATGGATACTGCCTTGCCACCATATGATCTGCTGGGAGAATATTCACATGAAGGGAAGCTTGTTCCATAGTGATATCTTTAGATTCGCGGGGCCTAAAGTTCGCGGTTTCGGGAAAATGGACAATCCGCGGTATTTTTAGATTTGCGATATCTCCTTGGCTATTTTTCAAAGAAAAATTTGTAAAGTGTATATTTAAAATAATAAAAGTTCGTGTTCCGGCATTTATCTCCTAAAACGCGGCGCAAAAATTTGTTTCGTGCACCGCGCGAGACTGCCGGCGGTAAAGGTGACGATCGATCTGACGCCCGTGGAAACAATTTCCTTTGTTCGGAAATAAGCACTAAAATGCTATTTCCCACGACTACACATCGATACTCTAGTGAAGAAATGCATAATCGAAAGAATATATATATTACTAAGCAAATTTATGCCGTCTTCGGCGAGATTTTGAACCCGGAAGTATGCAAAGGTCACCTTCGGTTTTGTAGGCCCACGGTGAGCGTTTCTATCCAGCAAAACAAGAAGAAGAAAAAAACGCCCGCAAAGCAGGGCGCAAAAGATAACCAACTAATTAAAACATTTCCCAGGTACCAGCCGTTATATTTTTCATAAAAATACTTGTAACGTTAGATATGCCCGATGTTCCCGCAATTTTCAAGCGCCCGGGCGCGCATGGCCGGCGCTCTGCACGCATAGATTTTTTTCGGCGGTACACGGTTGACACGGCCAGTGCCGCAGTATCGCGATTCGGTGTCTCATAATATTATAATTTTTTGACATCAGTATAACTTTTAAAAAATTGGGTACTCAGCATTTGCTAAGAATAAAGTTGATTTGCAGTGATTTGTGAATCGCGTGTGTTTGTGTTTCGCTTACCGTCGTGAAGGCATGTGGGGAGGGGCAGGGTTGGACAAGTCCCATTGCCCACTTGCCCAGGGCAAGTAAAAGAACTGTTCGGGCAAGTGAATATCCCCCTGTACTTGCCCGATTGGGCAAGTGAATTTTTTGGATCCGAAGAATAGCCACTATCGTGTTTGGAGCAAAATTACTCATCATTTTGCCATTTATATTTATGCCCTTTTGTCAGAAAATCCATTGCAAGTCTCAAACCACCTTACATGTATTTTAATGATTTAAAATAAAACATGCAGCATCATAAACTCTAATCAAAAATGAAGTAATTTCCTTGCTGATAGTAAAAATGCATATAAAAATGTTGTATATTTTGGGCAAGTAAAAAGTTGGTTCGGGCAAGTAGAAATGACCATGTACTTGCCCGATGGGGCAAGTGGATTTTTGAAAACTTGTCCAACCCTGAGGGGGGCGCACTTACGCAAAACATATTCGTGGGGAAATAGATTCGCGGTACAAAGGTCCCCGCGAATGCCGCGAATCTAAATATACAGCGGAAATTTGTAGACTTACAGTAGTTCTAGTAGGAAAGATACTTTCGGTGTGGAACTTCCTCCTGAAAGATGGAGTATGGAAGAAGAAGGGTGATTTCCTTCTGTATCATAATGGCAAAACGGATGGCCACTTTCTTTTTTCATGTTGCACTCATGGAATTATTGTACAATATTTTGAGCATGTTCATATCCCCCCTGTTTCAGGTGCAGTGCCACCCGGAGGCTACCCACCAGCAGGTGGTTACCCCTACCCCCCTTCCGGAGGCGGCTACCCCCCCTCTGGAGGTGGCTACCCCCCTGCCAGCGGTGGCTACCCCCCAGCTCCAGGGGGATACCCCCCATCTTCAGGGGGCTACCCTAGCTACCCAACTGGGAATGGTGAGTTTATGTCATTTACTGTTTTATAACAGCTTTCAGTTGACATTACTACAAAAGTATTGCCCAGTTGTTCCCTGCACTCTTAACTCTGATCCAAATTTCTCACATTTTCTAGCTTTAAAGTTATTACTTTTCAGGACTCAAAATACTTTTTTCTGTATACCTGCTTCAGACAAAACTTTGTTCAACACAGACTTTGAGAATTATGGATCATAGTTCAGAAACAATAGTTCAGAAACCATTGCCATTACTTATTTTATACTTTGTAGGTGGTAGCAGCCATTACAGCAAGCAAAGATCCACTTTTACCTAGTGCATGGGCTTGTGCAGGCAAGGTGCAGGCACAGCCCCAATGCACCCAGTATTTTGAGCCCTGCATTTGCAACTGCAATGTACTGTCTTTCACTGTACAGATTACCTACCTACTATGTTAAAACCCCATGACTGGTTATTTCCTTGTATCCATCCACCCTTAAGCTTCCAACATGGTGATGTTGATTGTATATAATTACAATGTTATGTGGAAAAACGCTCCAAAATATGTTTCATGTTCACTCCTCCCCTCCCCAGCCGGCCCCCCACCCCCGGGAGCAGCTGTCCCAGGGTTCACGGCTCCAGGCATGCCGCAGCCACCCGGACAGGACTACTCCCAGGGCATGCCGGGACAATATCCACAGGGTAGGCTTTAGTACAAACTCACTAACAAACATACAGCTGCAGTTCTAAACATATCCACAAGGGGGCATGACTACCTACTCCCAGGACATGCCGGGACAGTACCCATAGGCAGTAGTAGGCTTCATTAACACGTAACTACAGTGTGTGTGTCTCAGATTCGCAACCTGTTATCCACCTTAAACAAATCCAAGCGAAGGCCACCGTGTCAACCAAATCCTCACCAAGCTTATGTTTTAGGATCCCTATTTATGGGGGTCGGAAATTTTTTTAACGGGTGTCAGAGTTTGACATACCTACTCTCACACTCTCACCGCGCAAGTCATTAGTTTGAATTAAGAAAGCTACCGGTAAGTGCAGTATTTCGAACCCTGGTTATAACAGATAGAAAACCTGATAACACTGTCAGAGCACAGACAATTAATTTTCTTCATTAGTAAAGTTCCTTAAAACAATATGCTAAGACTGGGAAAACAGGGCCCCTGTTCTATTGATGAAGGTGTAAGACATCCAGGTACAATATTCAAACTCTACTACTGGATAGAGTACAAAGATTACTTTCAGATATTTCAAGTGACATCCATCACTCTTCTTCAGTCAGTATCACTAGAAGGTCCCTGTTTCTTATCAAACATGCTTCTGATGATAATGTACCCTGTACTTCTCTCCTTCCTTTTCTACCAGGACAAGGAGGCTACAACTCCTCCATCGGATTTGGTACAGTCCATCTTACTCTTACTCTTCCTCCTACTAACTATGATGCCTCCAGGAAGCACGTCAGCAGAACATACTGCACCTGTGTGAAACCCACAATCTATTGTGCATAGCGCTTTGGCAGGAGGTCTCATATAAGGTTGTATTCGCGTATTTAGGGATGACATCCCATCCAAGGCTCAAAATTCATTTTTGGGAATAGGTGCACTTGTGCACCCAACATAAAAAATTGGGTGCACAGCTCCAATTTTTGGTAATTTACCCAGTATTTCAAGCCCTATCATCTATACTTTTCAAATGTTGTGTCGGAAAAGGTATCGTCTGCAATGGGCAAAATTCTACAGTTTGCAACATTGATAAAACATCTAACAAAAACATGAAAAATCTGGGTTTTGCACAAGCGCAGTACGTTCTGCTGACTTGCTCCTCCAGGGTAGTTTTGTTTGCAGGCTTGGTGAGGGAGGTGGCTTGCTGGGTATAAGAGGGGCTTTCGATGCTTAGTATGATGATATTCTTATTCAGTGCTGTGCATTGTACAGTACCAAAAACTTGATAATCAAAAATACGACAAATGCTGAAACTTATAGGGTCCATAGGGTCAAATTCGTATGGTAGAAAACATTAAAAAACATTTTAGTTTTCGTTAACTAACAACATTTGTTCCTGATTTGTTCCCTACTCCACTTTAATTTGGGAATCCCAATTGAAGATCTTGTAAAAAATGTAAAGTAAAAGGCCTGTAGTGTTAACAAAAATTTAGCAAAAAAATGGGATTCCCAAATTAAAGTAGAGCACACAGTTCTACAATGTTGCTCTATATTCAGGGATAACATCATGTTACGTCAAACAAAATTGAGACGACAGAAAAAAATTTAGGCTGATTAGAACACTGATACAGCCACATTGGTAGTATGTAATAGGCAACCAACAAAAGTAAAATTAGCCCAGTTTGCAAGTATGGCTAAAACATGGTTTAAACTTGTCTGTTTTCCCCTCCATTATGCCCTTGGGAAAGGCACCTTGTACTACCTTCCTTCCCCTGACGGTGGAGTGACGCTAGCCTCCAGAGCATGCCAAAAACTGGGAGTTTTGGGGGTCTTCAGGGTCTTTGGGAGCTTTTATGTGCTATTTTCTGATTGCATATACACAACATAGCCGGTCTGGTTGAATTACCCCCGTTTTTTGAACCGGGCTAATCAGAAAACACCCAAAGACCACCAAACCCCCTGTTCTATAAGCCTTCTACGGAGGCTAGAGTGACGCCCACCAAGGCTAATCTGTCTAAATGTGTGCCAAAAACAAACGTACACTATAGATTTGGTTTGCCAATGTACTAACATCTCCACATTTGGGATCAAGAGCCGTAATTTCTTTTCCCCTCCAGGTGGTCAGCCTGGTTACCAGCAATCTGGATACCAGCAACCCCCTGCCGCCGGAGGTTACCCACAAGCCCCTCCCGCCGGAGGTTACCCACAAGCCCCTGCAGCAGGGGGTGGTTACCCACAAGCCCCTGCAGGTGGTGGGTACCAGCAGCCGCCTGCGCCGTCTAACATCTACTCCGGTGGTGACCAGCCGCCACCCCAGCCAGCTGCCCAGCCTAAACCTCAGGTGAGACTAATCTAGTAGTAGAATGGTTTATTTAGAAACTCCAAACATATAATATATACACATGTATACACAATACACTCTGACAACAGACTCGCAGGCAATCTTACTGGATGCCTGAATTGCTCTGTGGTCATCACAAACTATCATTAAAATATGCTGTCAAAAGGTATTATTGTTAAAACACATTGCTAAAATTTATATCAATTATAAATATTTCTCTGCTTTAGACATTACGAAGTTCCGGAATTGTAATTAGATCTACATCTACTCATTCTGGGCCAAACCCCATATGGGACATCCCGCCCAGGGTTTTGACAGATGTGGCCAGTGGGGTGAGGGTGCTCCGTAAAGTGTTTAATAATACATTTATGTTGTACACACAGACCAACTGTTTTTGTTCATTGAGCGATTTGACCCACAGTTGGGCTGGTACCTCAGGTGATATGGAATATACCGTGTTGTACTCTTATATGTTGTGCATAGATTTTGTAAGCTGCAGTTTTGGCATCTAAACAGTCTGACGCACGCATACTTACCTTGCTGTGGGTTCCCTAATCAAAATAAGGTACTGACCTAGGTGTTTTAACCACTCATCTTGACTATGTTTGACATAATAAAGATTATTAAATTTTTAACTCTCTGTATAATGAAATACTGTATACTCTTGCAAAATGTGCTGAACTTTCTTCACATTTAAAGTCTGTCTTTATAGCAAAAGGATGTTGTCCCCACAATGTGTAACTAGTATTAAGGTACTGAACTCCTTTCTTGTCTCATTCTCTGTGTGTCATCCGTTCAGGAACTCCCTGAAGACCCTTTTGAAGGAGAAGAAATTCCCCGGACACCTACAGATGATGTACTTTTTTCCTTCTTCTCCCTAGCTGTAGTCCCTGCATGTCAGACATGTTGCCTTGGCTTCCTATCCAGTAGCTCACACTAGATGGTGATCACTATCCTATAGATGCTACATTCTGTTCTCCTGTGTCTTGTATGTAGCTTGCTACATCCTTGCTACAGCTTCCTGACATATACATGTACAAAGTCACCCCCCCCCCGTGCAAGAGTTTTATGAATGATAACTAAGCTACATGTGTAGTCTTACTTCTATCCTATAGATGTCACATTCTCTGCTGCTGTGTCTTGTGTGTAGCTACATCCTTGCTACATCAACCTCTTGCTACATCCTTGCTACATCTTTCTGAACATATACATGTACAAAGTTACTGTAACAGTAGTCACCCCCCCCACCTCCCATGCAAAAGCTTCATGATTGGGAAGCTATTTTCTTACTACTGTCATCTTTGTTACATTTTGATTAATTATGATTCCCAGCAATCTCCATAACTCACTTAGGCTTGCAATTCTGAAGTGTAACTCATTGACAGTGACCCTTAAAATTACATGTACAGCTAGTTTGCACTCTTTTCTTGCTTTTATTTTCTCTGTAATTCACTCCTTCAGGAACCCCCTGAAGAGCCTTTCGCAGGAGAAGAAATTCCCCAAACGCCTACAGATGATGTACTTTTTTCCTTCTTCTGTCATCTTTGTTACATTAATTTTGACTTATCATTCCTTGCATTCCATATATCACTCACGTTTGTGTTAGGCCTGTAATGTTCTAAAGTGTTCTATATAAAATATTGTCAGTGACGCAGTTATTACATTAAGTTTGCACTCTCCTTTCCTGCCTTCTCTGTACTTCACTCCTTCAGGAACCCCCTGAAGACCCTTTCGCAGGCGAAGAGCTTCCCCGAACACCCACAGATGATGTACTTTACTCTCTTCTTCTCTCTGTAGTGTTTGCACAGCAGCAAAACAAAGCTTAGTGCAGTCTTCCTAAATGATAGCTGCTTTGTTCTCAGTGCTTCAGTATGATTTGTGTATTAGTCAAGCTACATGTATTTGCCAGTGCATCAACAGAACATACTATGGCTGAGGTAGTGGAGGTGCTTCGGTCACTGTGCTCCTGTGTCTTGTGTAGCTATATCATTCCTCCTTCATGTAATCAATGCTACTGTTGTCAATACCCCTGTCTAAAGCATAAGTAAGAGCTGCTAACTTTTGATTATTCTTTACAGATGCACCTTACATTCTTATTACAGCTATGGCATTCATGAGAGGCCTTAAAATGCTTCTTATATTCAGTTACAGACTGTTTTATTTTTTTTTCAGGCTTCTGAAACATAAGTACAAATGTATATACATTTGTATGTTCATGCACAGGCTTCAACCATCTACCAGAATTTCATTTGCATTTTAAGCTACAGTCTGTATGGTTAGTATTACCATAGTAAACAGTGCTTATTTGCCCTTATTTGCATATTAGGCTCCACCCCTCAGCCTGTCTAGTTGGTGTTACCATAGTAACCAGTCCTTATTTGCATATTAGGCTCCGCCCCCTCAGCCTGTCCCACCAACCCACGAGCTGTCCCAGCTGTCCCTCGGAGGTCCCGGGGAGACCCACGGAACCGTCGTCGCAGCCGCAAACTTTGACGCTGAGGAAGACGCTAAGATCCTGCGCAAGGCTATGAAGGGAATGGGTAGGTTTTCAATTGCTTCTTGATACGTTGATGAAGGTTAGACATCCAGGTAAACGATACTCGTAAGAAAATTCAAACTCTACTACTGGATCAGTTACGGATTTTTATTTATTTCCGGACGTTTCGAGTGACATCCATCACTCTTCTTCAGCATCACAATTGAACAGAGAACCGATTCACTCTTATATACAAGTAACTAGAAAAAACGGTTAAACAACAAGGTCCGTAAGAAGCTTTATCATGTAAAAGACCGGGTCACTCAATATACAGGTAATTGGAACTAGAAAAACCTGTTCAACAACTGTAAGAGTCTTTGTCATGTGAGGAAGGTTCCTATGGTAAGAAATTACAATAATTGCTTCTTGGTTTCTTGAACATGCCCCGCTTTCATTTCAAGATTTTAGCAAAATATGTATCTGTCGAGCTTAAGTGCACTATGAACTATGTAACACCTTCAGTGCACTATGCACCAAGTAAAATCTAGCGTCAGTGCACAGTAAACCAGTCAGTATTGCCCTGATGAAGATGACAGATGGTCATCGAAACGTCGGATCGTGAAAAATAAATGGTTGTGATGAAAGAACTTTGCTATTCAGTTGTTTACCAACCTGATGAAATTATTTACGGATGTCTAACTGACTTGCTCGGTGTTCTAGCCATTCTGAATCAAAGGTGCAACGAGCCCCCTGAAGTGCTATTTCCTGCATTTTGAGGCACAAATTTTAATGGCAGACTAAACTAAGTTTAATGACATCTCTTTTGTCCATTAAAGATGAGGGATATAAAATTTTGATCTGTCATGAGTGGTAAAATTTTATCAAACAATGGAAAGGCAGACACTGGCTAGAACACTGGTCTTGCTATTTTGGAATGTGAAAACTCATGTTTGCATGCTGTTTTGCTGTTTGTGCTGTGCTGTGCTGTGTTTGTCTTGTGTCTCCTGTCACAATATCTTTAAAGAAAAATCCAGTGTACAGGTAAAACATTTCAACATCATGTTCCTCTAAATAAGCATCATCCTGTCTCTCTAACATTTTATTATCTTTAAAAGAAAGAAAGTGATCTCGAGCCAGTTTTAGCTCACTGAAGAGCTAATCTTCCACTGGTCATGACAGAGAAGACAGACGCTATGTACAGTATTTACAGGTTCTTTAGCAGAACATTTCTCAAGAAAAGCTATTTAAAGCTAATCTCCAAGCAGATCATACCGTGGCAAGGCAGTATCCATTGGCTAATGGACACTCCTCTGGCCAATGGATAATACCTTGCCACTGTATGATCTGCTTGGAGATTATTAGGTTCTTATGCCACTGTTCTTGGAGATTATGGGTTCTTATGCCACTGAAGCTTTTAACTTCTTTCTCACTGCCAATGCAATGGACACAGTGGCATAACAACCCACTGCCCCTAGGGCCCCAAAAAGGCTATATCCTTGCATGTACCTTTACTTCACTACCAATGGAGCCGCTATTGTATTAAGTTATAACTAAGAAATCCTTCCCCCTGCCCCAGGTACGGATGAGAAGGCCATCCTAGAGCTGCTGGCTGAACGGAGCAACGCTCAGCGTCAGAAGATCAAGCTGCAGTTCAAGACTATGTATGGCAAGGTGGGACAGAAGTTACAGCAGCAGTTTCATTTCTAGACATTCTAAGAACATATCTACTTCTATGTTCATGTAGTGAAATCATCAATGTACAGTACATTGCATTTTCAGTGAAAGATATCCTACTTTTGTACACATGAAGCTGCAGAAAAGTAAGCTGCTATTAGTGTTCTATCCAGCATCCATCTCTCGTTTGATGGAATTTTTCAGCATTTGATGGACAAAAATTTTGCCCAATATGTCATCTTTGATGCACACAAATCGAAGTGGAAAGACATGAAAAGAGACCTCAATACACTAAGCTTAATCTACAAGCAAAATTTGAACCTTAAAATGCAGAAAATAGTGTTTTAGAGGGTCAAGATGCCCCTGACACCTTTAGCACTCATCATGATAGGTTAAACAAAATTGAGATGACAGAAAAAATTTCAAGCTCGCTCACTGACTGAAATTCAAGACTTGTGATTTCTATGTCTTGACCATGACATTTCTATAATGTCTAGAGGCCTGACCCATTCTTGCTTTTCTTTCTTTTTTTTCTTTTTAATCGTTTATTTCAAATTTTACATACAAATATACATACAAATACATGGTGTGTTATGGCTTACCCCTACATCAACTGTTCAAAATGTTGGCGCACATTTTGTAATCTAAAAGTTTTGTTTCGTACAATATATTCTTGCTTTTCTCCTCCTCTGTGTTTAGGACTTGATCCAGGACCTGAAGTCAGAGTTGAGCGGAGACTTTAAGGAGAGCGTGATGGCGCTCTTCGTCCCCACCACGGAGTACGATGCCTGGTGCCTCAACAACGCCATGGTGGTATGTATCTTCAAATATATAGACTGGTTTATTTCAAAAGGAACTTGCATACAACATACATATAAGTTGCTAATTGCAGCCCGTAGGCTGAATTGGGCAGCTTTTACAATGAGATACACAGGTAGAATATATATAACACGTACATAACTTAAGCATAAGCATCAAATATTGCACTAGATTATTGCACTTTTATGTTAAAATTACGGCATTACAAGATCGGTTACAAATTACATGATATAGCTAAAAAAACTATTACAATTACTATAAGATAAAACACTATTACAACACATACAGCTATTATAAAAAATAATCTACTCTAAGTCCAAGGTGACCGTGTTCAATATGTGCAACATTGTGGGAACCGGGCTACGTAGAATCAAATGATCTATGATTTACCACAGGACACAACAGGTGACACCTTTTCAAGATGTCAAACCTGAGAGCAGACTGTTGAAGGTTTGAACCACTCGCTCTGGGAAAGACACGTGTGGTGGGATATTTAATGTCCTCAAAGTGTGGCTCTCCTTGAACACAGGACCTCCGGCTTTATGTCCTATCTGAGAGGATGTCCCTAACCGAAGCTAGGTACACATTTACTGGAGTCAAGTAAGGAAATAGGTGTAAAGTGCCTTTCTCAAGGGCACAAAGTGGCCTACCAGGGATTCAAACTCAGAATTTTCAGAATCTGAGTCAACAACCCTAACCACAAGACCACCTTGTCAAAATCAATGTGGGTTACTTGACTGCTGGCTGAGGAATACATCACTCACACTCACTCACTGTCCGGTTTATCATCTGTTGTTCCCCGACTTCCGAGGGTTAGACGTGCTTGCACAATACATCTGAGGCTTGATGGCAGCACGCCACTTGTCTCTGTTCTGTGGGTCGATTTTATCTAAGTTCAGGTGGTGGAGGTCCTCCCGTAGACCCGTACCTTGTCGTACCATTTCCTTCTAGGGCGGCCACGGGGGTTTGGACCCTCCACATCCAGTGTGAGGATCCTCTTCGGCCATTTGTCCCTGTCCATTCTCTGGAGGTGGCCGTACCATCTAAGTCTGTTGTACCTGACATGTATCAGCAATGCCACCACTAGTGGTCTAGCTAGCGTAGTTTTAGTAGACATGTACATGTGACATCTTGCAGATTGTACTGGTATTGCAGCAGTGGTAGAAATCCTTTTTTCAACAATCTCGCAGACGAGTCAAAATTCTTTTTAATTGTTGTTTGTTTGTTTGTTTTGTGTCTATGTTTCTAGAGGAGTCGGCCTAGTAGAGGAACTCTATGTTCCTGGCCGGCTCCTCTCAGAATTTTATTTCTGTGAAGTTGAATAAATAAATAAAATAAATAAATAAATAAAAATTTTGTTCTGCCATTTGGAAACACTTTCTGCAAATACACCAGCCTCCATATTACAACCTTCTCATCTTAATAATGCAAAATTGTGGACTGTAGGATTTTTTTTCTTCAATGTTGTAAATCTCTCTGTAAAATGTAGAATGCAGATGGGTATTTCGAACACTGTAAAAATAAAGGAGTGTTAATCTGTCCCCTCCACAGGGTCTGGGCACGAATAAGGAAGTGTTGATCGAGATCCTGTGTACTCATAAGTAGGTAGCCATTTACATACGACATCTAGCAGTTTATATTGGTACTGCAGGAATGTTAACCTCCTAACTTTACCTTTCTCAGGGTCTGGGCACAAATGAGGAAGTGTTGATCGAGATCCTGTGTACTCGCACTAACGAGGAGATCGCAGAGATCGTCAGGGTCTACCGCGAAAGTAAGTTTAGCTCATAATAAATGGTTTATTGGTCAAACGTTACTCATGCAGTCGCAGCCTTCTTCTTAACCAAACAAATAAGGTCAACGACCTGAACCAGACATCTGTCACCATGGTAACTAGTGTTGGATTACGTCATGTTGCAATTTTATAGCAGGAGTGATTTAGACTCCTGTTCGACCATATATATATATATATATATATGAATGTTTTTGAGTATGAATTAACAGAGCTGACCATATGCAAAGGTAAACATTATGCATTTGCTTTGCAAATGTTACCTTTCTAGTAATTTTTTTTCTCCCTCCAGAATTCAAACGCGACCTGGAGAAAGACGTCGTCGGGGACACAAGCGGGCACTTCAAGCGTCTGCTTGTCTCCATGACAACGGTAAGTCATACTTCATGTGTTTTTGATCATTAGCAAGCATGCAGTCATAAACACAAACACAATGTAAAGCGTGAGCCAAATGAATATCTACAAGGAGTACTAGTGGTAAATGGGGTATGACTGAGGACCTTTGGAGGTGTTCTAAAAATACTAGATATACTTATTATGAGTACATCAGCATAGCGTACTGCGCCTGCATGAAACCTGGATTTTTCATAGTTCTGGTCAACATTGCATCAGACTTTTGCCCATTGCCATGGGCATCTGTCACCATGGTAACTGTTGTTGTAGCAAACACCCTGTTGTGTAGTATACAGCATATTCTTAACACCTGAGTGTCAGAAAAATAATAAAGTCGTTCTTATAGTACTTTTCTTTAGAAATCAAACATGATTATAGTTTTTGCTGAATGTCTACTTATTTGATCTTATATGGTGCACCCAAAGACATTTTTGTGCACCCAATTTTTTAGGTTGCGTGCACCAGTGAACCTACATGTATTCACAAAAATGGATTTCAAGCCCTGCTGATATAATGCTGTTTTGTGTGACATGAATGTCTTTAGGCGAACCGAGATGAGGTGAAGGAGGTTGACTATGAGAAGGCTGTGAAGGAGGCGAAGGAACTGTACAAGGCGGGAGAGAAGAAATGGGGAACAGACGAGTCAGAGTTTAACCGTATCCTCGCCTGTCGCAGCTTCCCGCAGCTCAAGGCTACATTCGACGAATACATCAAGGTGTTTATTTGTTTATTCATGAAGTAAAGACCAAACTTTTAGCCTGGGTACCATCCTGGTTAGTTTACGTCCACTCCCAGTGTCGCTCCCACCAAGAGCGACTTTTGGAGCGGACGTAAACTAACCAGGATGGTACCCAGGCTCCCCAACCTTTATCTCCAACTGTGGAATGAAATTGGGATCAAATTTTTGTTCATGTGAACAAGCTTGAAGGAGTCAGCTGAAAATTTGGGTAAGTTCCAGTTCATTCTTACTAGTGTTAGAGAAGAAGGCTAAGGACAAGTACTGTACAAGGCGGGAGAGAAGAAATGGGGAACAGACGAGTCCGAGTTTAACCGTATCCTCGCCTGCCGCAGCTTCCCGCAACTCAAGGCAACATTCGACGAATACATCAAGGTGTTTATTTATTTGTTTATTTACTGTAATTCACTTTATGTTGAACTTCACGGTCTGAAAAAAATGGACATGTTCAGGGAACTATATGTTCACAGTGGCGACAGGTGCAGGAAAGAGAAAGTCCTGGAATTATTTGTTAACTGTAATGATAAGTTCATGGTACAGAAGTGACAGTGAAAACAGTGGCTGTGGTGTGGCTCTGTATATATGTCAAGAGTATGACTTAAGAAGCTGTGGATGATATTTAGTAGGTGAGTAGCATTTGTGGAAACAAAGGTCAAGTTCAAAAATGGTACCCTTGGCCATTGCCAATGGTACTGCAGGGGACATTTGTTGTTTGTAGTGTGTACAGCATAATACAAAGAGCTGTGAATGGATCTTATTAATATTTGGTAGGTAGCAGTTGTAGAAACAAATGTCAAGTTCGAAAATGGTTCCTACGTTGCTGCAGCTGGTTTTGTTTAGGTTTTTGTTTTGTGTAAAACATAACTGAAGTGTGAGTACTGACATCCCTGTAATATTTTGTACAGGTGTCCCAGCGTGACATCATGGGTACCATTGACCGTGAGTTCTCCGGACATGTGCGGGATGGGATGAAGGCTATTGGTAAGTGAAGAATAAAACCTACGTGTTTGTTGTTTTTATTAGTAGCAATTTGTAAATTGACCAGTTTTCTAGGGTTCAGGAAAGACAAACACGAGTAACACACAGAAAGCACAAGCATACATCAACATTATCATGGAAGTTCTCTGTTGGTAGTAATCATCGTACGATGCTGAGTTTTAATCCAACACAAGGGCACACAAGGATCAAATTTTCAACGACCACTGTCGCCTTCATCAGAATAATCAATGACTAATCACTTCTGGACATGCTACATGTATTAAAAAGCACAGTACAGGTGACCAGTATGGTCGAGCTGTGACTACTTCTTCACACAAGTTTTCTCTTCTTAGTACATCACATCTTTCTTTGTATGTTGAATAAACACCAAAAACAACTGTACTACACCTCATGATCAGGAGACAGTGTGCATTGCAGGACCTTGTCCTGTGTATCATTGGTTTATTCTTCAAAAAGTACTACAAGTATTACAATGCCATCACTTCACAACCATTAAGACTGAATTCTGTATCTGTTATCAGTATAGCCAGTATAATCGTCCTTCAGCGTAACACACCAGATTTGTGTGAATTAAAGCATTTAACAATTATCATGTAAAAGTCTATTACAGAGCTTGTTACTGATGTGATCTTGCCCCCTACAGTGCAGTGTGTGCGGAACCGTCCTGAGTTCTTTGCTGACAAGATCCACAAGTGTGTGAAGGGTCTGGGCACCGACGATCACACCCTCATCCGAGTTATTGTCACTCGTAGTGAGGTAATGTCTATTTATTTAGTTACATTTCATTATTAAGTTGAAGGGTGGGCAAAATAGGTGTATAAACACTTTTGCAAGTTTCCCTCCCAAACACCATGATAATACAATACAATATCAATGCAAAAACATACAATATAAGACTGGATCAAAAATACATTATGTACAGTACATTATGTACATTAAGACATGAATACATTGTATGTAATAATCACAAACTGTACATGATACTAAGGTGGTTTTAAGGCTATACACATGTGCAAGAAGAGGCAGAACTGTAGTGTACTGTCATTTTATTTTTTATTCCAACATTAATGACAAGACATGGTGATGGCACACAGATGCAGTGGACAATAGACAATTCTCATTTTCACTCAAGTGAGGAAAGTCAGTGGCATGGCAGGGTTCGAACCCAGGAACAATTGGTCCTATGATCACTCTACACCACATCCATGTGTATCCTGGTCCATGGCCAGCTATTATGAAAAGGTCGACCATTTCTTAGCATATTGGGATTTTTCCTACCTAGCTAGCCTACATTTTGATGTCTATCAAACACCTTCCTCAGAGCTTCTGACTGGAGTACTGGTCCTTGCCGCTATATTGTGGCGCTTTTTCAGCAAGAACACAATCCCAAACTTGGCTAAGTTTGTATCCCCCTCATCTCGGTTCATCACTGGGGTTGACTTTTGGAACTTTAATGTTTCTTAAGGAAAAGCGGAGACGTGGTCGCCCTTCTTTAACTTTGAAGAAGCTGAACTATTGAACTGTCCTCTGTCATGCATGACAGGAACTTGTGGAGACAGTACATGGTGTCACCTGAAGGATGAACTGAACTGAATGTTTCTTGTTTCCATTTCCCCAGTATGACATGGTGGAGATCAAGCAGGTTTTCCTGAACAAGTACAGGAAGACGGTGTGGAAGGCGATCGAGTCGGACACCAGCGGTGACTACAAGCGCATCCTGCAGGCTCTGGTCAAAAAGAACTGAGGGGCAAACAAACGGACTCTCACACCACGAATTTAGCTGCAGATATGGTGGCATCGCACACATTATACAATGGTCTTTCTTATAATATGTAGAGTTTACACACAAGGACTTTAACACTACGGACTTAGAACTGCAAACATAGTGGCATTGCATACATTATACTACAGTCTTTCTTGTAGAGTTTACACACACAGACTCTCATGCTATGGACTTAGAACTGCAGATATGGTGGCATTGCACACATTACTAGTATACTACAGTCTTTCTTTTATGCAGGACTTAGGACATTATAGACAAGGTAGCGTTGCATATATTCAGCCCCTGTCACACATAGCTGAATATAGCCTCCCAAACACTAGCCAAACTCCCTCCAACTTTGGTTAGGAGTAGGTAAAGCCCCTGTTACACACACAGCCAAATATGGCCTCCAAACTATGATTGTGAATATGTTAGGAGCAAGATTGGCTGTGGTTGGCTGGTGTTTACCAAGGCTGGCTACTGTTTGGCTGCGCCAACCAAATGTTTCAAAATGTTTGAAACATTCGGGACCAGAGGTTTGGCCATGGTTGGCTGGTGTTCTGGAGTAGATCAGCAGTGGTTTGAGCATGGATGGCAGTCAAATTTGACTCAAATTTAACTTAAATTCGATTCGATCTGTATGAAAAGGTATTGGTGTGGCCTAAATCTTGTCAGATTGCTCCCAAACTTCAGCAAACCTTGGTTGGAGGGTGGTTTGGGGGCAAGGTTGGGCGAAGGTCCAGAATGTGTGACAGTGGCTTTAGACAATAGACTTGGTACCGCTGCATTAGAATTTGTACTATTATATACTCTTTCTTATCTGTGTAGTATGCACTAGTGCTGCTCATGTTGCACACTGTAGTGCGGCAAGCTTTAAAAAAAAACAGTAAACATGGTTGCGTATTTAACATGCTGCAATCTTTACACAACAGAGATAGGTGTAGGTCTGATGTTTCACACTTTTACTCACTACGTAAAACTTTAAACTTTAATAGTGCTGGAAATGAGTAAAGAGACTCTTTTTACACAACTAAGTCTTTTATTCAGCTGATGTTTCAGTGACCGTTTGTCACCTTCCTCAGGACAATTCTGACTGGTTCACATTGCACCACAGCACAGGTGTTGCTGCTATAGATGCATTCCCAAACATACAATATTTATCATGATACAATGTTTGGGAATGCATCTAAAACGGCGACACCTGTGCTGCAGTGCAATGTGAACCATTCAGAATAACCCTGAGGAAGGTGACAGACGGTTAACGAAACGTCGGCTGAATAAAACACTTGGTTGTGTAAAAAGAGTCTCTTTACTCAGTGACTTACCAACCTGATGAAACTATTTACCTGGAAACTTTATGCACAGCTGTAGACTTGCCACAGAACGGATACATTTTAATGCCATGCTGTAGAATTTATACAATAGTGCTGCATACATTGCACACTAAGCGCTGGATGCAATTAGTTTGTGAAAGCTTAATATTTTTTAATCAAGAATAATTATGCTGATGTAGAAATTACTGTAGTGGCAGAAGAAATATAGCTTAAGACATAGAACGCATCAAATGTAGCAACTTTGAGAATTATGCTAATTAGGAAAACAGAAGGAAGGAAGCTTTTATTTAGCTTTCCGCATGAAGCATTGTAGCTGCTTGGGTAAATATGTGGGAGTTATAAAGTACAGAGATTTCATGCAGGTATTTGTGATTGTAGGTAGAACTTTGGTGTAGAAACTGTCAAATGTGTTATATTCACTCTGTCACGTCATTCTGGCTATGTATTCATCAGTGTATCTGTATATCATGTCAAAGATTTTGGGGGCTATAACTTAGTATAAGAAACCTTTGGAAACTGGATATTTGGTACTTTAAAAGGGCTGAATACTTACTGGTAGCATCCCATGATTTGGTCCCCATGATGTTAAGGTCATCTAAGGTCATTCAGAACCCTTTTGTAGCACTTTTGGTGCGTCATCAAATTCAGATGTCAACTTCACATATAGGTCAACAAAATGTCAGTTTCAATATCAGCTACAATAGGAGTATAAGTTATGTATTCAATTTGTGACTTAAAGTCTTACTAGGCTTGATGTTGTTACCAAGACATAAAATTTACCCTAAGACTTAAACATTGTAACTTAAAAACCTCACAAAAGCCACTGTGCTGTGCACATGATTGTGTGCTACCTCTTGTCGTGTCTACATGTATGCTTTGATCAAATGACTGTGAATCTATGTTATAGAGACATGTACCACACAGCCAGTAGTAAAAAATATGAAGCATACACACATTCAAATTTATTTCTGACTGGAAGTGCAAGTATCATGATAGCTTTGGATCAAAGTTTAAGCTCTCTTTCTAGCACAGGTAGGAAGTTAGAAGTATTAAAGTGGGCCAGTTTGACTAAATAAGACAGGAGTAACTATTTATTTCTGTTTTATTTAAACAGGGTAGAAACCTCAGTGCTACGTAAAACCACTGCTTTTCAGGAATGCCCTGTATTAGATCTTTGCATTAGAAAGAAGGTTTAAACCTTGATCAAGGAATACTAGTATTGTTACAGTCGTATTTCCGTGAATGTTTTGTTCATATTGTACAAAATGTGATACTTGTGTCACACCATACTACAGTTTCAACTTTAAGTTATATTTAAGTCTGCCATATTCCTGTTAATTCAGGTTACTGCATTAGTCCCTGCTACATGCTAGTGTGCCTACAATGTATAAAACCAGGAATAGACGAGCATGAAAGTCATCTTTGTTGGTCTGTATCTGTATTTGTCAGACTAAGTATAACCACCCCTCGGCGTAACACACCAGCTAACACATGTCTATCATGTAGTAGCCTGGTTACCAAACCTACATGTACATGTATTTTAGCTCCTAACATCCGTGTCCATAATATCACCATAGTCCATAATATCGCCACCTTGAGAAAAAGTGTACCTAAAGATATGTTTACTGCAACATACTTTTGGTATGCACTCCTGCACACCTCAAATGTACATACCTAGGGTATGTTGCAGTAAAAATATCTTAAAGCACACTGTTTCTCAGGGTGGTGATATTATGGACCCTGGTGATATTATGGACACAGATGTTACATCCTCTCCACAAATAGCGGACCTGGCAAAACAAACATCATGGTTGCAGCTTCTGTAGCTTTTTCAAAGGAACAGACCACAGCAGTCTGCAAGCTGTGGTCTTCTCAACTCACTGAACTTAACCCTTGTCCTGCAGGACCCATATATATATATATGGGTTGCACATACAGTACAGCAACCTGTGTATGTAAATTTTGGGGTATTTCTTGTGCAACGCATCACACCGCAGCAAAACGCAAAGAATGCGGAAGTAACTACGCCACCGTAGGGCAAAAAAAATTCAAGGGACTATGACCTGATTAAGACATCAAATTATTTGATAATATTGTGTATAAATTGCCAGCAGGACAAGGGTTTTAAGCTTACATGTATGTGAACATTTGTGTCAACTTTGTCAAGAACTGTTGTCACAATCTTAATGCAACTACTGCAATGTCTTAAAAAATACATGTACCTACGCACCAAAGCCAGAAATGTTTTAAGTTATATCTAGAGAGGAAGCACAGTGTACCTGAGGATTCATGCTACATGTAACTGTGAAAGGAAAGTCTGTATTGAAGAGAAGAATATCTGTAAAGAAAAATGATCCATGTACTGACAAGCAGAGGAACAAGTGAAGTAAAAAGTCATATCTGGTGACAATTTTGTTTGAATCTGTTCTTCAAAGAGACTCTTGCTTAGGCCAGCTTTTAGAAGATGATCCATGTGGGTATAAAACAGTGCATAAAATATACCAAGGATGTTGAATTGTTCCAGCAACTTTATTGTAAACTTAATAATGTATACCATAATACCATAATTTTCTGTACCTTAAGCCCCATGATACTATATATAACATAACATATATATCATATTATGGCATATACTAACTTACTTTACATAATGTAACTATAACATATATCATAGTTTCACTGAGTTTGCGAATCATGATTCTCTATATAGGTGCTGAATTGAGCACTTAACATAGTATTTTTGCGCATACACACACACACATGTACACTTATCAGAAGTAGTAAGTAGTTAACTATGAACAACTAACCTAAAGACCTTGCTCCAAAAATGTAATCTTAAACCTAAAATGAAAGATACTATGATAAAAAATATAGTGCATAGATGTAGAGGGCAATCTCAGGAGACTAAATATTTGCAAGATTCACAGATAACTATCCAGTGTTTGATGTTGGCTCAACCGACTCCCAGAAATACATGTATTAGCCCCAATTGCAAAGTAAGAAAGATATCATTCAAATCAAACTACGTATTCAGTTATATTCATACCATAAACACCTCTATAATGCTGTTTACAAGAAAGTTTTACAATGTATCATTGTCCAATAAATGGCGTCGATGAAGGTTAGACATCCATGTAATGACGTACGCAAGAAAACATATAGATTTTGAAAATTGATAGTTTTTGACAACTGACAGTTTTCCAAATGTACCAAGTTTCTTTCATAACTGTTTTTGTATACTGTTTGTTGCTTTCAATACATTGATTGATATGCCAGATACGCACTTGTGTCCTTCACACAATCACGTTATAAAGATCCAATGCCTGAGAATGTGCAACTATTAAAGTATGTCGTCCTTGTTTAGGTCATCAAGATTTCCTTTTTCCTTTCCACGTGATGTTCACATGCGGCTGTTCTGGACGACAGCTCCGTGGTTGATGTAGGCACCATGCGGCAGGGAGTGGGGGTTGTACACGTAACGCCCGCTTCCGCGGGAAGGAGGGCGGGACGAGGGACGGGGTACTGAGGAGAGGAGGAGGATAAAAAATCAGTTCCACTAATCCCCACAGCAGAGTTTGGCCGTATGTTGCTTATTTGTAATTTCCCCCCATTCTCTATATAGTAGGCATTCCTCGGTCTTGGAGGACCTAGGACATTCTGTTCTGTATAATGGCCTTGGGAGGACCATGAAAAAACTACAACTTCTACACGATGTATTTATTGTTTGTTTTAGTAGTTCTCTATATATGCATGATACATGAAGAAAACAGCAAGAACACAGCAGGAGTCAAAACCTGAATATTCAGCAAAATTAAAGATACAAGCAAGTGTCGTACATTTTACTGCCCCAGTTTCCTATGTCAATAATAAGCAGGACTTTTAAAAGAAGGAATTTACCTATAACATACACGTTCTACAGTTTTTTTTACAAGTTCAAGGGACATAGAAGAATTTGGGAGTGTGGACTAACCGTTGTCGAGGCGGATCGGCTGCGGGAAGAACTCCATCTTGCCGTCCGGGCCGCCGTACATGTCCGGGCTGTGGTCCGGAGGCATCATGGTCCACCCGTGCCCGTAACTCTCGGTCGGGTAGGCCGGCTCCCCGTGCTTGGGGATGTCAAGACCTGTGAGGTAGCATTTTTAACATTTAGAGGCTATCATTTTTGTTATGATTACATTGTGGGCCAAGGCCATGCGGAAACACACACTCACACGCGCGCGCACACACACGTACACACACACACACACAGACACAGACCAAGGAGGTTTAAAATCCTTGTACACACACACACACACACACACACACACACACACACACACACACAGACAGACTCACACAGACTCACACACACACACACACACACACACTCACACTCACACACACACACATACACTCGAAATACATACGGGGAAATAGTGGCTTTCCTTAATTCCTAAGCTTTCAGCACGAGGGGATGTATGTCCCTGTCCTTGGTGCTGAACGCAATCCACTAATACATACACACGCGCGCGCCCAAAAGCAAACAAAGAAGGAAACCTCACCCCTTAGCTCGATCTCGGTGGGGACCCTGAGTATGCCGAACACCTTGAGCAGGCCGAACATGAGACCGGCCACCACCACGCACCACGCCATGATCACCAGGGCTCCCAGCAGGTTCCATCCGAACAGCTGGGGGAAACAGAGAAAAAACAACAGTCAGGAAAGATACGACAAAAAACAGATTTTGGAACTGATCAGATGTTTCACTCCAGTAGATTGACCCAGTGAGAGTTGTCACGTGGCTCCTCTGAAGTGCAACGTCAACACTGGTTCAGTCTATTGAAAAGCAGAGTGACTTGTCGAAAGCTCTAGTAGGTGAGAACATTTCTTTGTGGTGTAACAAAAGTTTAACTTTGAACACGTAACTACCAACACAGTCAGTATAAAAAATGTATATTGAACACCAATTCAGAAAATTCTATCTTTTGGCTTGTAACTTATGTAAGTTAAAGATACGAGCAAAAAAAGATACGAGCAGGCACTTGGTAGTATTTGGCTACTCCTTACCCTGAGGGCATATTGCTTGTCTGCTCCGACGAGTCCGACATCGCTAGCCAGGATCGGCGCGGCCAGAACACCCCACAGTCCAGCGCCCAGGTGAACTAAGAACATGTAAGGAGCAGAATGTGGCTCATGGTCTCTTAGAGTATCTCAGGGTGAAGTAATTACTGACTAATGGTGGACACCGTTAACTAGTAACTACTGTAAACGCTAGCTGTATCGGGTGCAAAATGGCAAAAGTGTGTACACGAAAAGAAAAACTAGAGTATCTAAGACAGATGGACAGTGGAAGGATGATGTTTCCAGATTTTTTTAAGATGTAAATGAAAAGAACAAAGACATCTATTCTTGGTTCCATGAAAGTGATATATAAACTCTACGTTTTTATATATCACTTTTATGGAACCACGAGTTCAAAAACGGCATGATTTTGGAGAAGTGTATACTATATGTTGTCACCATTGGATAAATCACAAGAGCAACGGCATTCAAAATAACCAAACAAATGTGAATAAACAAAAATAATCATTGTGAACAATCTTGACACCTGCTACGGCGTCCAGAGGGTCATCCACGCCCAGCTTGACCACGAGCCTGGACCATGCGCAGTAGACCATGCCGGCCACCACCCCGATGACCAGCGCGCCCCAGGAGTACGCTGCGTCCGCGGCTGCACAGATCGCAACCTGAAACGGGCATTTATTTATCTATTTATGAAGTTTGGGTTAAGTAGAAGACGAAGTTCATTTTACCGTAGATTGCTCTTTTCATGATGGCGATGCAATCATTGTTCTCAGTTATGTGTTAATAGCCTCTAGCAGGCTTCGGGAGGCGGTTGGAAAGAGTAGAAATTGGGCAAATATGGGAATAACATGCCAGGGGAGTTGGTCCGCTAGAGAGTACAGTTTGCCACACAAAACTGTACTCTCTAGCGGACCAACTCCCCTGGCCTTGTATTCCCATATTTGCCCAATTTCTACTCTTTTCAGCCGCCTCCCGAAGCCTGGTAAAGGCTAAACTGAATCATAAAGTCTACTATATTTCTACTATTACTAAGAAGCGAGAGGAAGTCGAATGTACCTAAGTATACTAGAAGTTTATATGCACACGTTTATGTATATTATCGTCAACATATGACCTGTATTTAGCCCAGTGGGGCAAATGTAAAAAAAAAAAAATTCATTCATTCATCATGTTAATCTCTAAGCGAAGGCTTAGGCTTAGGCTTATTTTTCGCGTGTTCTTACGTTTTAGGCGTTTTTATAGTTTCGTGACTGCAAATGCACCATATTTGGAAGGATTCTACCCACCATGCCGGAAAGTGCTCCGTTGATGGAGGTCAGCAGACTCCAGTTCACATCACCAAACAGTCCGGACCGCTTCACCATCATCGCCACAACACCTGCATTAGGAAAGAGTGATATAATCTTTATTGACTCGACAAAAGTACAGGGACTTTCATATGGTCTACTATCTGTATCCGTCTGTATCTGTATAGCCGGTATAACCGCCCTTCGGCGTAACACACCACACAACAAACGCAGGCACGCGGCGCGGCGGCAGCTGGCTATATTACACCGATCGACTTGTTACACCTAACTCTTGAACATCTAACTCTAGACATTGTTTAAAGCTATCTAATGAGTGCATAAAGTCATCCTACGTACAGAATATAGAGTGTTTTACAGTATGTCTGTTAAACATACCAACATGCTGCTACTTAATCAGTTTACCCGCCAACACCTGGTTGCTGAGATTCATATGTTGATTATTATGACGCCAATGAAATGCCTCCATGTGTGTGCGGCAAGATATTAGTGACATGGTAGGATTCGAACCCGGGACTTCTCGGTTCAAAGCTGAACACTCTGCCTTTACGCCGCACGATCCCACATGAGGTGAGTTTCTTTAGATTATAACGAATGTTAAATATTAGTAATTTACAAGTAGATTCTGAGGGGCAAGGGGAGTCTATATTGGCCGCCTGTATTCGCTGGTTGGAGATTAAACTATAAAGGTAAGGTCTGCAAGGCAAATGCATAATGTTTACCTTCACATATATGGTCTGCTCTGTTAATTCTTACTCAAACACATTCATATATATGGTCAGACAGGAGTCTAAATCCCTCCTGCTATAAAATTGCAACATAATGTAACCCAACACTAGTTACCATGGTGACAGACACAACATTGGTTCAGGTCATTGAGGTCATTGGATATGATTTTGAAAATCAATAGTTTGTGCTTATATATAAACCTGCATTTCCCCTCTGGTCTCTCAGTCACTGACGAAAGCTAGTGGATACTAGCTGAAACGTCTTACGATTTCAAAATCATATCCAGTATTGCTTGAGTAACTGCTTTTTGGCGTATCGTATTACCTGGATGTCTAACCTTCATCGACGTACATTGAGGTCACTGTTTGGAGAAGAAGAAGAGGAAGAAGAAACTGAGCAAAAACAAGACGTTTATTATTATCTCTATCTCACCTCCGGCAGCCCCTGAGATGATGGTGTTGACGATGGCGTTAGAGACGATCTGTCCGTCCCGAGGGCCGGAGATGGAGGCCTGCGAACCGCCGTTGAACGCCAGGAACCCGAAGAACAGGATAAAGGCACCGAGGGCCACCAGCTACAGACGTGGGAACGGTTTGTAATTGTAGGTAAATATCAACCTGTACTGTACATAAGGACTTTTGGTAGTCCCTTAGAACAGTATTGTGGTCTGTTATCATTGAATTGACCAATGCATTAAGGCCAGGAACCCGAAGAACAGGATAAAGGCACCGAGGGCCACCAGCTACAGACGTGGGAACGGTTTGTAGGTAAATATCAACCTGTACTGTACATATAAGGACTTTTGGTAGTCCCTTAGAACAGTATTGTGGTCTGTTATCATTGAATTGACCAATGCATTAAGGCCAGGAACCCGAAGAACAGGATAAAGGCACCGAGGGCCACCAGCTAAACACATAAGAACGGTTTGGAGATAAACATCAACCTGTACTCATGACTACCTGTACACGTACAGAACGAGCCATTGTGGTCACTTTTTGTTGGTCCCTTAGATCATTGAATTTGCCAATGCTGAAGGCCAGGAACCCGAAGAACAGGATAAAGGCACCGAGGGCCACTAGCTACAGACGTGGGAATGGTATGTACAAATGTAGTAATATAATCTCTAGGCAGACCTTTCGGTGGCCACAAAGACAGTATCAAATGACCAGGCTGTATCCATCGCCCATCATCGTCATCATCACTTGACGACGGGCATCCAAGAAGAAGAAGTAGAAGATCCATTTACCAGACAGTATTCATTGGCCACACGATGGACACTGTCTGGCAAATAGACACTGCCCGGCCAATTTAATGCTGTCTATGCGGCCACCAAAAGATCTGCTTGGAGATTATGTAGATAGACCCGTGAATAGTTTCATCAGGTTGGTAAGTCATTGAATAAAGATCTCTTTTTACATAACTTAGGGACCACATGGTAGATACAGTTCCCTGCAACTGTATAAATATGTAAATATTTTACGTATCCTCGAATTTCTCCTTTTGTCTTGTAACAAACATTTTGCTTTAAACATCAGTGTTAGTCGTTCTTTACCGGCACGGTGTGCCCAGAGATCTGCACAGCCTTCCCGTCCTTAAAGCGGCCGATCCGCGGACCCAGCAGCTTCGCCCCCACAAACGCAGTGGTTCCGCCCACCACATGCACCACTCCGCTGCCTGCGAAGTCCTGGGGAATAAAAATAATGAAGAATGTAGACCTTTATTGTACACATATACCCACTGGGTTAACTACAGGTCACAACAAAAGAATAGTATATTGATAACGTTACATACTATAGGTACTTACTAAGTAAAAATTCGACTTTTCTTAGCAATCAGCAATGGTAAAATGATAAGAACAGATACGTTTCATAATCGAGGGTTTTCTTAAGATAATGACAATGGATGGTTTATAGCGGAGAACCCGGGGTCCTTCTAGATAATAAAAGTGGACACACGAAATGTACTGTGGTAATGGCGTACACAAATAGCTTTTTACTTAGTAAATTTTCAATGATTTGATGGCCTTTTATGCACATCGTCGTCATCACAGAGAGGCCCAATGGACACGTGACAGTCATTATGAAAAAGGTAGGATCGAAGGCTTAAAGTTTTAAATAGATGAAACTAAAACAAAAGTTCAGAAGGCGCAAGTCCTAACTCCTAACCCAATGGCGAAATGGCAGTTAGGACACACTGAAACAAAAGCCAGCTTTGAACGATGTATACTGGCCCTTGTATTGTACCAAATGATACGGTTTTATCCATGTTATGTACTAGTAGCCTCTACCTCTAACAGTTTGTCTCTCCCGAACTGTTCTCTTGGTCCGGACAAACTCCTCCACGTATCATTTGTCTATTTTGCCAATTTCTACTCTTTCCAGCCGCTTATCAAAGCTCGGTAGAGGATGATACAGTAGCACAACTGAGGTTTTATACTTGATGTATATCTGTATATATTGAATGAAGAAAACTCTGACCTTGTACACTATGCCGTCGGGCCCGTTCGCCAGCCAGCCCACGTCAGACCAGGCCCAGTGCGTCACTACCGGGTACATGAAGCCTGTGGAAACATCATCACAACACGTTAGATAGTTAAGCCCCTATCACATATTCAGAACCTTCCAGTGATCCCAGGGCCACCCAAGGTCTGACCAGATTTAGGCCACGCCTACTTTTCTATGTCTGTATACTCAATTCGAATCAAATTTGAGTTGAATTTTAGTCAAATTTGAGACCGGAACACGCCCCGGACACTGCCGTCCTTCCTATCGGCAGCCAAACAGTCTCCAAACAGTGGGGTCGTGTGGCGCAGCGGCAGGTTCTCGACTCGGAACCAGAGGCCCCGGGTTCGAGTCCTGACATGCCACCGATCTTGTGCCCTTGGGAAAGGCACTTAACACGACTTTCCTCACTTCGCTCAGGTGTAAATGAGTATTGTACTGTCCCTGTGTTGGTGGCGGCATTAATATAAGTTTAAAAAACTTGAGTGTGCCGCCACCACGTCTTGTGATTAGATGTTGGAATAAATAAAAAAAAACCTCACCTCCGATGACGACACAGTAGACCAGGTAACAGACGAACTCTGTCCTCTCGGCCATTGCCCCCGACACGATGGTGGTGGCGGTGGCGCAGAACACAAACTGGAAACATTCACAATATATCATGAATATTCATGCACAGATATCTTACTTTCATGTGCAGAATGCAAAAATTTGTGCCTATTCAAAACGACATTGGCAATAATACAATAAACTAGAGAAGTAACATTTGCAAAGCAAATGCATAATGTTTACCTTCGGACATACTCTGCTCTGTTAATTCTTACTCAAACACATTCACATACACGTACTATTTAGTATATGGTGACAGGAGCAGAGTAGACTATGAAATTGCAACATTATGTAACCCAACACCAGATCACCATGGTGACAGACGTCAACAAATCATGTCATTGGTCAGGTTAGAGGTCACTGTTTGGAGAAGGAGAAGAAGAAGAAGAAAAAGAAGAAGAAACTGACCAAAAACAATATGAACATCTCCATCAGTGCTTCTGAGTGAAGCAAAGGTTCACTAGGCTTGCATGTAAATAGAAATTTTACTGCGGAATCGCTACAATTTCCAAACTGGTCACATCATACACTGTACTATTAAGCTCGCCACTACGGCGTCGCCAAAAAAAAACAACCGTCATGGGGTCGTGTGGCGTAGCGGCAGAGTGCTCGACTCGGAACCATGAGGTCCCGGGTTTGAGTCCTGACATGGCACCGATCTTGTGCCCTTTCGAAAGGCACTTTACACGACTTTCCTCACTTAACTCAAGTGAAAATGAGTATTGTCCTGTCCTGCATTTGTCCTCTGCGTTTGGTGGCGGCATAGAACAAGTTGATATAACTTGAGCGTGCCGTATTTGGTCATGAAGCGTTTGAATTAAAAAAAAAAAACTAAAAAAAACAACAACCTACCTGGAAGAACCAGAAGGCAGGGTCGGGCGAGAGCCGCAGACTCCCGGCGAAGAAGTCGGAGTGTCCGATGAACGGGTTCCCGACCTGGCCGAACGCGAAGGCATACCCGAACATCCAGTAACACAGGCCCGTGATGACTGTACAATAGGATAGATAAAAAAAGAAAAAAAAACAATTGAAAAAAAATGTTCGTTTGAGGTACAGTCAGACCTGCCTAATACTTCTGCTAAAATGATATAGAAGACAACGAAACACACAAAACGTTTAAAAGATGACAATAAGCATGATTTGTGTATATATTCTTGACATGCAGTTCTATTTTTCGTTCATTCAAACATTCATCTGCTTAGAATTGTCGCTAGCATTACATATACATGTAGGTCACAATTGCATTAGCCTGGGTGCCAGGCCGTTTCCATGGCTCACACAGGCCATGCATTTCCTCGGCTCCAGGGCCAAACTCATGCCCCCAAGGAAATTATACCACATCCCCCTCTGTTAAGCCCTGCAACAGGAACCTTTCCACTAGCCTTTCCAATAGCAAACTAAAGGAATTGTGGATCACTGTGTAGATTTCGTACAAAAATGAGATAAATGAAATAAATGTCTCTGCTACTCACAAATGTCGAGCATGTTCTTGATGAGGATGTTGGTGGTGTTTTTACTCCTGACGGAGCCGGCCTCCAGGAACGCGAAACCGGACTGCATCACTGTGGGACAACAAGGATAGAAATATTATATCATACCCGGGCCGCGATAACGTTCGATAACGGGTTCCAGACCGGGCCGTACTTTACGGTACGGCCCGGTCCGGAACCCGTTATCGAACGCTTCCATGGCTTCCATAAAACGATTCGAACGCGTTTCTCCCTAACCGCGAGCGCCCCTTTCGAAAATTCGAATACAGAATCCGGACGTTGGAATTGATGTTGTTGCATTTTAGGGTTCAAGGGCACCAACTTTTGGCTCATCTTGTATTGAAAGGCGTGTTTTCTTGGGCGGTCCCGGCCCTCCCGCGAGTCGGATCGCCCTCCGGCCTGCGGCCGTCGGGCGATCCGACCCGCGGTCGGGCCGATACCTCGGGCGATACGGAATACCCCGTGTTGTATTCTATATTTATAGCATGGGTACAATCCGGATTTTGCTTCGTTACGTATATACGCTAGAAAAAATAATTTCTAGCGTAGCGGAGCAAAATCCGGATGGTACTCTGTCTAGAAATATTACTGCATTGCTGTAGAACAACAGGAGCATAAAATAACTTGGGCATTTAGGTTTGGTTTGGTAACTAATAGTCTTTATTGCTGTTATTGGGGCTGCCTGTCTGTGTGTGTCTGGTTGTTCGTCTGTCGCTGTATTTGTGTATGCGTGTGTGTGTGAGTGTGTGTGTGTGTGCGTGCGTGTGTGCTTGTGTGTGTGTGTGTGTGTGTGTGTGTGTGTGTGTGTGTGTGTGTGTGTGTGTGTGTGTGTGTGTGTGTGTGTGTGTGTGTGTGTGTGTGTGTGTGTGTGTGTGTGTGTGTGTGTGTGTGTGTGCGGGCGCGCGCGTGTATGTAGTTGTGTGTAGTTGTGTGTTTGTAAGAGTGTTTGTCTGTCTGTGTGTTTGTACGTCCACGCTAGAGTCCATATGTACTCCCTGAGGCACTAAGAGACGGCATGTTCACCACTCTTCTGTAGGCGCCCTCCAACAAAACATCAAAGGTTGACGTCAACAAGGAAACGATTCTTATCAAAAGACGGCATCTTTATAAAATAATTGTAGTTGCACACCTGGCCCGGAGGCTTGCGAAATTACATATGGGCTCCGTACAACTTCGTACCAGTCACATCAACATTCCAGTGCATATATCTACTCTATAAATACACACATTATACATATAAATCATGTCAAAACTTCGGTGGAGTAGAAAGAGGTCCTTTTGTTGGGAACTGACAGGGCTGAGTGATGACACCCTGTGGGGAGGCCATGAAGTCTACTAGATTTTATCTTTCAAAAGACACGACGACTAGCTTGGCGAACATTTAACCTTGACCTTCGTCTTGTTATTTTCGCTAGAGTTCCAAGTTCAAACCACAACAGTGAAGTACATTAGACGAATTTATAGACGTTTACAAAAAAGTTTCTATGATTTAAGACCGGTCGAGGCATTTTGTGGCAGGGCAACACCCCCAGGGCCATACTTTACTTAATGTGAGGTCAGTCATTTGTGTCAACTACTATTAGTATCTGTCACAAGCCGAGTCACTGCCCAGTGAATCATCAGTCAAGCATGAGATTGTTAATCCCACAGACAAAAGTTAAACTGTCTTAACACACAGCTCAATTCTTTAATACAGAAACCCATTTGCGACTTGTAAGGTTATACCACTAGCCAACCACCCAACAAACACACAAACAAATAAACAAACAAACAAACAAACAACGCTCAAAGAACGAACGACCAAGGACACTTGTGTCATTTAATGTCCTTGGGAAGACAAAGTGTCGACAACAAAGAAAATGGCGACATTCTGATTCATTTCATTTTAAAAGCCTGTTATTTTACTAAATTACTACGGGCCACAAATCAATCGGTGTAACTTAAGATACGGGAGCATCAAACTGTTTGTCAGAATGTCGGGATATAGAACAAGGTGTTGAACTTGATTTTGGACCTCCCTGATACTAGATGAGCACTAAAATGAGTTTCAACACCAAAATACCAAAGAAGGATAGCCTCGTATCTACTCTACTGCGGTTTGGGCGGGCTCCCTAGTCGACCACCTGAACTTAAGGCCCTTGAGGCTCCCGGTAGGAGTTTTGCAAGACGGGAGTTGATTGAATAGCTCACCCGCGATATAGCCTAGTTTAGTTGGGAGGCGGGGGACTACTACGGTTGCCTCTACCAGGCTTCGGGAAGCAGCTGGAAAGAGTAGAAATTGGCCAAACAGACAGATGATATGCCAGGGGCAAACAGTTCTCTTAGTGCGGCATATTATCTGTCTTTTTGATCAATTTCTACTCTTTCCAGCCGCTTCCCGAAGCCTGGTAAAGGATATTGCTACATGTCCGAAGAGAGATTGCCCAAACCACAGTAGCCACTTCCCTTTCCCAGAAAAAACACACCTTCTCACATGTGAGATCTTTATCGCAATCTTCCTTTTGTAGCCCTTGCCGTCATAATATAATAATTACAGGGTCATTCTGGGCGTGTTAAATCATTCCATCCTCTTATCTGATCTTTTTAAGCACGACACAGGACGACGATCAGGGTGCAATGACCGTTCGGAAACACAACAAGTTGGACGACCTTGTGCAACCAGACCATCGTAGGCTCCCCGGTATCTCTACGGTGCTGGGAGCAACGACCTCCCGACCACGCAGTTGTTTTTTTTTTTCACGGGGTCGGTTTCAATCAGTTTTCCTACTACTGGACATCTCCAAGCAGATTCTGCTGGGCAAAGGGAGTTTATATTGGCCTGTTGTAACCAGTGATCGCCCATGTGTCAGTGTGTTAGATTTAAAAGGGGTCGGAAGCCTTCCTTTCTTCGGCAGATTCTTGGGGCGGCCAATGGATACAGGTGGCCAATGTTAAGTCTCCTTGCCCCACAGAATCTGCTTGGAGATTAGGAGTTGCGTACTAAAGTATCACAGACTCCTTTGCAGGCTGAAGAAATAGTAGGTAGAAATCGGCCTAAAAAGAATTAACTGGGCAGGGGAGTTGGTCGGCCATAGAGGGCCCAAAGCCGACCATAGGCTATTTATTCAGCCTAAAAAGGAGTCTGGTGGAGACTAACAGAGACCCCGACGAAACAGACTGTTTTTCAGGTGACCCAACGAGTCTGGAAGAGACTATTTCGGATGATGCAACCGGCTGATGTAACAATGTGACGTTTGTGACAGGTGGCCCTTTGTGTACGTGTCCTTAGGTAACACCTAGAGGCAAAAAGTCGTCAAATCAAGGTCCGTCTGGTTTGTCGCGTGGCGGTTCTACCCTCCAAGCAGAGGTTTGGACTTCGACTTAATTTGGACGTGTAGTTATGCATTTTTATCGGGCTTTCTTTTTGTACCGGCATCTTTTTTTCGCCAGCCAAGCATCGGTAGCCACTTATATTGCTCTGCCAATTTGATACAGTCTTATAGTCACCGAAAGATCTGCTTGGAGAGTATACCTTTTCGATGCTTTGGCATTTGAACTCTCTTCCGGTCAGGGCTGCATCTTTTGAACTTTCTTCTGGTCAGGGTTGCTGCTCGTTTGAACTCTGTTCCGGTCAGGGTTGCATGTTTTCAACTCCTTTCTGGACAGGGTTGCATCGTTTAGTGCGGCCTCTTTACTATATCGGTAGCCTGCCCTATTTTTTGGTGGTTGTTAGACGTGACATCATTGTCAGACGATCGTAAAATATATTATACCCTGTGGCAACGTCTGCCCTCTTTGTTAAGTTAAAAGTGTTTCATTCAACGTCCATAAATCAAACATAAAACTACATAAACTGTCCTCATTATAATGTAGCCTCTACCGGGCTTCAAAAGCAGTTGGAAAGAGTAGGAACTTTTGTGGCCAAATAGACAGATAACATGCAAGGGGAGTTAAAGGAGTACAGTCCTTTTTCAGGCCGTAGGGGCAGTGGGTTAGCCTGGGTAACTCCCACCAACTGTGAGAGCGACTGTGGGAGCGGACGTAAACCAACCAGGATGATACCCAGGCTAGCGGTGGGTTGTCTAGGCCTAGGGCACGGTTTTAGAAGGCCATCCCTCTCCTTCCACTGCCCTTTACCTCCCCAACCGAAGTCAGGTACCTATGTTACACCTGGGTGGAGCTAGAAAAGAGATGTAAAATGCTCAATGCCTTGCCTGAAATGCAAGGAATGGAGCTCGTGACCGCTTGCCTATCCACTCAATTTATTTTGTTGCATTAGGACAGAAAAGACCAGGAAGCGTAGAATGGAGCTAGCTGGACACAGCATCCGACGTCCTGAGCTGCTGGCCAGCCAGCTCATCCTGTGGGAGCCAGCAGAGGGAAGGAAGAGAAGGGGTAGAAGAAGCACAACCTTCATAGACCACCTGAATCGGGGTCGGGTGGCGTAGCGGCAGAGTGCTCGACTCGGAACCAAGAGGTCCCGGGTTCGAGTCCTGACATGCCACCGATCTTGTGCCCTTGGGAAAGGCACTTAACACGACTTTCCTCACTTCGCTCCGGTGAAAATGAGTATTGTATTGTCCCCTGTGTTGGTGGCGGCATTAATATAAGTTGAAAAAAACTTAAGTGTGCCGTCACCGTCTTTTTACTATATGTTGGAATAAAAAAAAACTGAATCGGGATGCTGGGCTCAGAAACATCACCACAGCAGAACTCCGCTCACTGATGAAGGACAAGGACGAGTGGAGAACAAGAACCCATTGTGTCCCGTGATGACATCCCTGTTGTCCCTATTCAAGGTTCAAGTAGGTTCAAGAACCTTCCCATACACAATAGTGAGATTGTTTTCTTAACAGTCATTCTAGGACAGGCTTGAGTGTAAACTACTCTCCAGGTAAATATTTCGGTTGGTGGAACGGAGGAAGGAAAAGAAATGAATGGATGGATGAAAATGAATGAATGAAATTGCGGACACTTTTAGAAAACATAGATTCGTAGCAAAGGGAGAAAAGGTTTCCGATCCATTTAACATCCATTCAATAGATAATTATCATTGCTAAGGGATGTCAAACATTCTTATTTTTATTAGAAAATTCTCTTGATAGTGGAGGAAAAAGTCGTATTAATCTTAAGTATCTCATAATATCCTGTCAAATGTGTAGGGAAACATCTTCTTGGAAGGAACATCCTGCTAAGAGTAAAATAATATTTTTCATTGACATAAACATCTTAGCCTCGGCCTTTACAAAAAGTATGCAGTAATTGCGACTAAAATCTTTGGCTATTATTTTGAAAGGTCGGTTTTTCACTTGAGAGTACCAAATAATTATAACTACGGGGAAGGATACAAAACAAAAGAAGGAAAATCTATCATAGTCATTCCGCCAAAGCTCGGAGCAACCACCAGAGGCCAGAGAACATTTTTCAAAAGAGCAACGTCACTCTGGAATAGCCTTTCCACTGACACTCGCGCGCTGTCTGGTCTATACCATATGCGAATGTATCATACGTAGCTTTTTTGAGGGGCAAAAGCATTAAAAACGTATAAAAACAACATTTCAATTGCAAACGTATGGCAGCATCGTGAAAATAGTAAAGCATTTAGGGAAAAAGAAGAGTTTGTGTTTAATTGGATCCACGATTAGTATAAAAAGTTGCCATTATTCCTCTGGTCCTACATTTATTACAAAGAGTGCTTACATACAATGGTTTTATGTATTTAAAATTGCGTTGTAGATTGTTAATATGTTTTCCACGTCAAATCCCATTGTCATATCCTGTCTTTGTCAGCAGTGCTAGCCCTTTGCAACAGCCACCGGCTAGTTCGACCTAATCATCAATCAGATCCTACGGTGGCAAGACAGTATCCATTGTCCAGAGGATAGTCCATTAGGTGGCTAATGGACACTTCTCTGGCCAATGGACACTGCCTTGCCACCGTAGAATCTGACTGGAGATTATTCGAGCCTTCCTGCCACTGAATGAATGAATGAATGAATGAATGAATGAGTGAGTGAGTGAGTGAGTGAGTGAGTGAGTGAGTGAGTGAGTGAGTGAGTGAGTGAGTGAGTGAGTGAGTGAGTGAGTGAATGAATGTATTTCATACAGACTTGGCAAACCCAACCTCACAGAGGTATTTACACATTACTGTATTAAAACCTTTGTCACAATTTTTAGAATTTACTTCATACATACATTAGTTGGCCTATCACTCAGCTATCACTGGCTGTGAGTATTGAACAACAGCCAAACCAATGAATCAAAATTAATTGATAAATAGATAAATAAATTCCTCATTCCTTGACAACGACTGGAGTTGTACAGTCGAAAATTTGGGTGAGCCCAATTTTTTGTGTTGGATATTAAGTGATTACAGTTTAAAATTGTTTCATAATGACTTCTACCAACACAGATAAACTTTCAAGATTAAAAATAAACAGATTAATTGATTTAGATTAATAAATAGATAAAAACAAACACGTGCACTCACAGAACACCATACACCCCATGATAAGTAGAAACAGTTGGTCGCTGTTCTTCTGTAAGGTGGCGAAGTCGGCCGCCAAAATCGTTAGGTTGACCGCCATGACAAGTTCTAGTCGGCTGGTCGGTCCTGTAAAGATGGTGATCATATGATCTTCATTTGCAAAATCATGCCCGAAGGCTAATTGTTTGTACAGTGTCAAAGAAAGTCAAGTAAAGCAGCAGGAGACATACTACTTCTGTCTGATCAACTTATACTACTACTACTGCACTCATTCACTCACTCACCGTCTCACTCTCACTGACCATGTCACTCACTAACTCATTCACCCACCCACTCACTCACTAACTCATTCATTCACTCACTCACTCACTCACTCACTCACTCACTCACTCACTCTCACTCACAGTGTCACTCACTAACTCACTCACTCACTCACTCACTCACTCACTCACTCACTCACTCACTCACTCACTCACTCACTCACTCACTCACTCACTCACTTGCTATTATGGGGTTTGACGTCTTCTTTGAAGGCAGTGGATAATGAATGAAAGACCTTTATTGTAGGTTTGTGCTCTTACCCGAGCTAAGTATAGGTCATGGATAACAAGAGTTACAATTACGGTACAGTGATAACCTATTATATGTATAACTATACAGACTAATTTTATCTAAATTACAACATTGGCAGATTCTTTGCTGCCTTTGTCAATGTGGCTTGTGTAAACTAATTAGGAGTTTTCTGATGGCTGTTCTATGTCGAATATTTGTGATTTTTGTATATTTTTCTTCGCAGTAAGTGATTTTTTTTTGTAATCTGTATGCAATCTGTATGTTCGATCGTAATTCGTTGTTGTTGTTAGAATTTTCGGTCGGTGACCGGAGTAACCAGGTGTGTAAGAGCTCCTTTCTTCTTAGATATCGTGTTAAGCAAGTAACCAGTTCTACTGGTGACCTTTTGTCTTGTACTTATCCAAGCAGATCAAACCGAAGATCAGCTAATGATCGGAAGGGCGAGTAGCCTGGTATCCAGTCTGATTCGTGGTCGGGGCCGCAAGAGCTCTGGCCCGCCCGCCTCACATAAGCGTCCCGGTGTGTATTTCACGAGAGATTAATTAGCCCTCCACGAAACCAAATCCCCGAGCATACTGTCTCTGATTAGCGTAACACTTCTACCGGGACGGCCTGTTGCACTGGGCGGGGGAAGCTCTTAGAGGCCCCGAAGACACAACCTGCCTAAACACCCTAATACCCCCAATCACGATCAGACTGGATACCAGGCTAAAGGGCGAGCGACTGAACGGCCTTCGACCCCCACGTTAAGGTGAACAGCTGTGTTCCATTTCTAACCAGAAGATTTAGAATTAGAATTCAGATTTGGAAGAATAATACAAATTTAAGGATATGAATTCTTAGAGAGCAAAGGTTTACTACTTAGAAACGTACCACGGTTAGGTTGTCTGTGATTTTCTTTTTTGATATAAGGGTACATGTACTTGTAGTTAACAAAAACGCCAGCGGCCTTATAGAAAATTAACTAGCACGAGCTAAATCTTACGGAATCAAGCATTTAAGAAATCACTGCCCAGAAAAATGATATTCGTGGCGCCAAAAATTTTAGTCACGCCCATTTTGATCGGGAGCGGCCGAGAACATTTTTATACAGTCATGTACACGTGTTATGGGCAAACATCTTAAGCATGTTTAACACGTTAAGTGCAACAAAAGTTCTTACCTGTTTTAGACGTTGAATCGCCCAGGTGTTGAGGAAAGCGGTGTTGAGCAGAGGAGAGAGGCTTGTTCTTCTGACCGGCGGCACCAGACACACGGCTGGAACTGTGACGTTGTGCCGGCGACTGGCAGACAGCCAATTTACCAGGTGAGGATCATCGCTGGTTGGTCAACCACAACAATGAAGTCCCTGTCTAGCCTCCTACCCAGACTTTCTAGCGGGCAGCGATTGTTTCGCAACCGCTATGACGTGATTATGTCCAAGGTTAGTGTTACAGGCAAGTCTGGGAATGGTTCTATGTGTGTGTGTGGTGTGTGTGTGGTGTGTGTGTGGTGTGTGTGGTGTGTGTGTGTGTGTGTGTGTGTGTTTGTGCGTGTGTGTGCGTGTGTTTGTGTGTGTGCGTGTGTGTGTGTGTGTGTGTGTGTGTGTGCTTGCTGTCTCGTGATGCAGTTCTTATACATGTCGCACACATGTCTCTCTTGGATACTTCAAACCATCACGTCTGTTGTCCAAGACATCAGTTCCACCAAGAGTAAAGTCTTGCGCAATCTTACCAAGAGTAAAATCCTCATTTGCTCATCGCGATCTGGAACAAACTCGATGTTGAAATCAGAGGGATGGAATCTATAGCTTCATTCAAGTTCGGCAAATTGTGACTGACTTCAAAAGAAACCTCCATTCCTTCATATTGAATAGATTCCGCCAAACCTACAGTATAGACCGATCCGGATCGAACGCATCGAACCCCCTGTTCTATTTCGAGGTGTTCGGAATAGAACAGGCTAAGGCGTTCGAAATAGAACATGTGGGGGGTTCGATGGGTTCTTTCCGGAAGGATCTATTGAGCAGCCTTGTGGAGGGGTGATTCTCGCGCAAGACTTGGTCGTCACCGCTGCCCACTGTGTGTCTGAGTAAGGCCATGTTGATTTGACTATATGGATGACATCCTCTGTGAACCCCAAAACTGGTGGGAGCGTGGGAATAAAAAAAAGTTTGGCAAAAAAGTCAAAATCAATAGCAATGACGCAACGTTATATTTACATCTTCACATTTCTCCTAGGTGGCGACAGTAGGTGGGAATTTGAATTACGTTTGTCATCATAATATCGTCATGCGAGGTCATTCAGAGTTCATACTAAGGTCCGACGAATGTAGAGCTAAAAGCGACGGTATTAAGGACGATGAACTTTCGTGTCAGGCCAGGCCAAGTACAAATACTACAGGGTAGATAACTCCCATATACCCTGCCCATGGGCACAAACTATGGAAGCCTAAAAGTAAAACAAGAGTATGAAGGCCAAAAAAATGAATGTCGAGCCCTGGAAGTTACTTGTTTACGTCTGACATTTAGGCACAGCTATGGAACTGTTACCATGGCAACTATCGAATAAGATAATGATAAGATAAACAGCTGTAATTAGCAGACTTCAATCAGCCAGCACTTCCACCGAAGGTTCTATTTGTTGTTCGGCATACATATAATCACATCAGCAGCGGATTTACATAAGCACAACAAGTGCTTCCTATCCAATGCTCAAAAATCCATGTGAATAAAATAAAATAAAAAATAATCACATTGTTCACAATGTGAGGTTGCTACCAGGGTCAGTATACAGGTTAGTACCTCGGCTCCAGGGTACAGGTCACTGAGTCAAGTCTTAACTTAACAGGTGTAAGAATTAGAGTAGAAACAAAAAGACACTCCTGGTCCCGGGCCGGGGATCAAACCCACTCCAAACCCGGGCACCAGCTTCAGACCCCGGCGCTCTAACGATTCGGCTAAAAGGAATACACCCGTCAGACGGATCAGTTGGTAGCGACAATAAACTCCCACTGTAACACAGGGTAGCCTTGCAGGAGGAGAATACGCTCATCAGATTCTGAACTGAACTTTGAAATTAGGCGACGTTTTGGCGATCAACAAATTCGGAAGGTCGTTGACCTTGTAATGGCCTCTTTTACTGATGATTCTTTCTTCATGGTGACGTCAAGACCAAATCACATGAACTTCACGAGAGATGTCCTCATCATGTGCACGTGATGTCTGGACCGGATGTAGACCCAGAAATGTGCGTCAGAAATAGACCCAAATGACGCAGAAAATTCCATTTTGACGGTTCCATGCTTTTCGTGACGTAGTTCTAAATTAAACTTAAGTTTTTGTTAATAGCAAATAATTGAACATCGAATTTCACTAGTTTTAAATAGGCATTTTTAAATATAGTTTTTCAAACAGGTTTTTTATCGGGCTTTCTTTTTTGTACTGGTACAAGTACAAAAAAAGAACGCCCGATAAAAAGTAAAAAAACACGCCAAAAATAAGCCAAAGTCCAAACCTCTGCTTGGTACGGAGAGTAGCTCTATTTACAGATGTTTACCGTACTAGTTACGAAATTTATCAACCGGCCCCTCGACCCGCATCCTCCTACGAACGTTAGAATAAATAAAAGACGATAAAATCGTCCAGAAAAGCTGGATCCATTAACGACACACCTGTGTGTTTCCCGCGTTCTGACGTGTTGCGACAGGTATTTTTAAACCAACACCGGACAGCGAAACGTCCTTATCTACTAATACAAACAGGAAGGAACCGTTTTGCCTTGCGTAAGCGCGGGTTTCGCGGCGCGGGTACAAATAGCGAGGAAGGCTTCTGTCTTCCTCTACTTTGCCAAAGACTTCGTCACAACTCAGAATCTAACAGAACTACTACGATATGATTTGGTGTCTTCTTCTTGTTGCTCTGGCAGCCCGCGGAGGTAAGCGTTTTGACGTTATTTTCCTCTTACACCTAAAAGAAAACCTTAGGGCACATTTTGAGTTTATAAAAGATTGAACTTTCATTGAGTGCCTTGTCTAGTTTAGTCGGTAAAAAGTAGACATATCGTGATCTAGGTTAGCCAAAATATAAAAACGTGGAACGCAACGCACAGTTATAGTTTCAGAGTATCAGAGAGAGATACTAGTATTCTAATAGAACATTTTACAAGTGCAAAGAACAGTGAAATTCTGGTATAGATACAGATATAGATCATTATCAAATTAGGATCGATTCGACTTACTTCATGAAGAAAATGACAAGAACATATATTGCGCAAGTACACCCCTGTGTGAGAATGCCCGTCTGGGCCGAACTTACAATGCCAAAATTGTAATATTGATAGCCGATTCACAACTTTAGTCTTTCTTTTAACCTTGCGCTCTTGGTCACTGTTGATCTGTTTAAATGACTTTCCTCTTGTTTTTCCGGTGTCGTTTTTAGTGTTTCCCTTGACTCAATACAATAATGATGATGTTAAACACACACTTTGAAAATCCAGTGCTTAAGTCACTTGGGCGCCTTAAGTCGCTCTTGCCTAATTGAAAGAAAAAACAGTTTTTGAAAATCGTTTT